ATGTTTTTTTTTTTTTTTTCCTGTAGATGAGGAACACTGAATAGAAAATTTCAATTCCTGATTTTATGTATATTATTTTTGAAGTAGGTAATCTAGGTACTTGGTTCAAAATTTAAAAAAAAAATTATAAAAACAGTGGTTGGGCTCTGGGGCTGGGCTGTTTGGACTCAAACCCCAGCTCTGCCAATGACTCATTGTGTGACCCTGGAACAAGGTATTCAAGAACTCTGTACCTCAGTTCTCTCAGCTGTAAAAGAGCAACAATTACGCACGCACAAAAGCAGTGCCTTCCTCACAGTGTTGCTGTGACAGCTAGATGTTACAACTTAGCACAGCATCTGACAGATGGCCCTAAATTAATGCCATTATGCAACAGAAGCCCAGGAAGAAGCCTGGACTGCCCACAGCCACGTCTCACTTTTCCTTCCGATGTTACCAACTGGATACTTGAAACCCTTATTTTTCTCTCTTTCTAAGAACGCTATCTTGGCATATTGATATGTTGTCTAAAACTAAGCCAATAACATGTAAAGACTAACCAAATAGGAAACACTAATTTTTGATGCTATTAATTAGCTACAAACCATTCAGGCATCTCAGAAAAGGGGAAAGGGACAGCTGATAAAAACCTAGGCTGCCAGGCAGGAGGGGGGCCAGATCTGGTTAACAGTGGCTGGAACATTTCTATAACCCTCTGAATTTAATTTGTTAATTTGCCCTCGATGGAAGTTCTCTTTACCTTCAACATGACTGAGCTCCTGGCTGTCAAAACGTCACTTTGCAATGGTGACTTTAAGACCTCCTTTCAGCTACTTATCACTAATATATATCTTGGGTGCCTTTGCTCAAGGACCATGCTCTCTGTTCCTGTGGTTTATTTAGGACACTTAACATAACGTATTATTTGTTCTCTCATGGCAAGGTCTCCTTCTGACAGCTGAGATTCTGTTTTTCTGTCATAAGTAATTATAAATGTACATCTCTAAAAAGATTCCCAATTTGGGGGGCATAATTTATTTCAGACAGTAAATCATGGAGACATCTCCATCCCTTGGGCAGCCAAAATGTACGCTTCAGATGTATGAGCTCTCACTCTGAATTCTCCATACCTTAAGAAAAATGGGATGCTCCCCTTTCTCCCTGGGGCAGTTAGGGGGAAAAATGTGGCACCTTTGTTGGAGCAGTTTATATTGGCTTCAGTTCCTTTATTATTATTATTATTATTATTATTATTTTTAACCTCAGATGTAGCGTTCCATCTTCAAAATTCAACTCTGAAAACCATCTCAGGGAGCCCCACTCTGAGGGTATTTGCCACTGCAGCTATGCACGTTAGACTCTCTCTACCCCTTCCATCTCAAGCCCTCTGTTCCCACCAAAGATTCTTTTCCCTTCCTTCTCTATGCACTCCTGACAATCATGTCCCCTGCTCACAACCAAAAACTAATGATTCATTTCTAGGACTCTGGCCAACAAAGGGAACCCAAGGCAAATCTTCACTCCTGCTTCCTTCCCATTCTTCCATTGCTACTTATTATAACTCTGTGCCAGCCTTATCTTTAAAGACAAGTAGCCCTGTATTAGTGAAAACATGTATCTAGTGATGTGGGAGTATCAGATCTGCTTTATAATAATATGAACAGCTAATATTTGGTAGGTGCTATTCTAAATGCTTCGTGTACAGTATGCCTTAGTGAATCTTCATGAAAAGCTTTCAGGTGGACATCATTATCAGTCTAATTTTACAAATGTGTTAACCGAGGGGTGCCTGGGTGGCTCAGTCGGTTGAGTGTCTGACTTCGGCTCAGATTGTGAACTTGCAGTTTGTGGGTTCGAGCCCTACATTGGGCTCTCTGCTGTCAGGGCAGAGCCCACTTCAGATCCTCTGTCTCCTTCTCTCTGCCCTTCCCCTGCTTGCTCTCTCAAAAAATAAATAATTAAATTTAAAAAACAAACAAACAAATGAAGTAACCAAAAGTCGTACATGTCACACAGCAGAAATTGGTAGAGCTGGAACCCAGATGAAGGTCAATTTGATACCAAAGGACTTATCATCCTATAAAATGAAAGCACAGGCTACCTCATTTTGGGGGTGCAAGCCTAAATGGTTAGCATTTAATAAAAACAGCGGCATCTCAAAGTGACTGATTTTCTCTATTTGTAGTTAACTATTTTAATTTTTTTATGTATAGCATTTTTCATATTCCTACCTTGAACACTCAAGCTTCCAGAAGAATCCAGAAGCTGTTCTGTTGGCTGCTGACTAGGAGGAACAATTGGTGGGCTCAACATATTTAACCAGTCCCTAAAAAGAAAAGAAGAAAGTAAATAAACAACAGGTCTACAATTTCACATGTAAGTTTCATCTTTCCCCTGGAGTTTTAATTTCCTGGGGCTTCCACAAAGAAACATTTTTTTCCTTCTTTCATATTTCAGAAGGACAAAATGTCTAGAAGTTAATATTCAGTTCTGTAATCGAGTAATATAATGTCAACCACTGAACTAACTAGTTGTTCCACATATACATCAACTAACGACAACTACTCCTCTTGAAAGATTATCATTGTGGCTCTCACACGGTACACAATCCCTCTCATGTAAGAAAGTTATTTCAGTGACTCAGAAGAAATGCGGCAAAGACAAAGCTCCTTATGACCCTAAGGAAGCCTGGCAAAGTCACATGTCACTCCATGACAACATTCCAAAACAGAAGGTGGTCTTGGAGCGGTCAGAAACCAGCCACAATGGTGGGGTCCGCAGGCATTCACTAAGTGCCTTAGAGCAGCAGAGGGCAAAAGCAGGAACAGTGAGGGGAGCTGGGTCCCTGAGTGACCCGTTCCTTCAGTTCTCCCACTAAGAATGGGGGCAAAAACCACTCCGGAAAGCCCCTCCTACATTCCATCTTTCTGCCTCCAACTGCCAACCAACCTCATTTCCCAGCATTCTTTACTCCCCTTCCTCCCTCTTTCTTTTCCAGTCCTCCAGGTCCCCCTAGGAGGTAGCTGCATGCGTGTGATGCACGTGGGTGACCTCCAGAGGGTGCAAGTCAGTGTGTGTTCTACTTCAAGCCTCTCTCCTCTCTAAACTCGACACAGCTTCTTCAGGGGAAGGGAGCAGGAAGGGAATGTGAAGGATGTTCCAACGTGAGCTCTACTGCTTGCACTGATTTTATTTACCTTATTGTTCACCTTGCATCTGTATGTTTTACCTTATTCTTCTCAAGAGGAGCATGTCCTCATGACTAAACAATGTCTTTCTAAATTTCTGTATTGCCTACTGTCTTTACCTACAATGGGAGACAGTCCCAACAGTAACTAAGAGCACTGGCTCTCCAGGCCAATCTCAGCTCCATGTTTCCTCACGTTGAGAACATGGCCAAGCCACTTAACATCATAAGCCTCTTTGCTAAAGAGGAGTAAGAATAGTACCTTGGAGTTTTATGTTGGGATTAAATGAAAAAAAAAAAGGATGAAAAAAATTTGGCATGGATCTGGGTATAGAATCACATTCAATAAATTTCAGCTATGACCACCATTGTCTTCATTATTGGTGAAAATCATAGCACGGCTTTACCTACAATGATAAACTATGGTAGGAGGAATTGGATTTTGTTGGAATTAAACCCAAGATGGTAGAATGGTTACAAGTCTCTACAGGAGAAGTTTTTCATGAAAGCCCTTCACTCTTCTAGTAAAAAAAGTATCTCAATGTAAAAATTACCCAATTCCTATTTGTAGTATTTTAAGACACTTCTCACCTTAGCTATCACTAGATTATGGCTAGTGAAATCAGGTGAACACAGTGTATAATTGAATTTCATAATAACACATTAAGGACATCAGAAAGGATTTGTCACAGACTTCCAAGCTAATGGGGCATTTTCTGATAAGCACCTTTTATTTAGTCCATTTCATTACAGTAGACCAAAAACTCCTACATTATGGAAAATTACAAGGTCACATACAAATTACCAGCTCCAGTGACCTCATTACTCAGTGAGAGTGTTGGAGAGCAAGGATGAACAACAACAAACAATAATGTTATCATGTGATGACATCCCCAGTGACAAATCAGAAGACACTCGGCACTGGCAACAGTAGCTCCTACTCATGGACCATGGACATGGGGAAAATGTAGATGAGGGTTGTGTGACTATTATAAAAGGCAAGACATTCACTTCTTAGGCAAGTTATTTGATTAGTATTTTTCCTTCTCAGAAGTAGCTATGAAAAGTACAGAGTTCTTCCTTGTGTGATTTTTTTGATTGTTTTAAAATAATTTCAGATTTACAGCTTTTCTGTAAGAAATACAAAGAATACTTCTTTGCAAGAAGAGTGTAAAGAACTCCAGTATATCCTTCCTCCAGATTCCCCCATTTAAACACTTTATCAATTTGCTATCTATCTATCTATCTATCTATCTATCTATCTATCTATCTATCATTTCTCTATCTAAACAGGGTCTGGCAAACTATGGCCCATGGGCAAAGTCTGGCTTACTGCCTGTTTTTGTACAAGGCTATACAAAATAAGAATGGCCTTTACATTTTTAAGTGGTTGGAAAATTAAAACAGTATTGTTTCATGACATATGATCATTATATAAAACTCAATGTCAGTGTCTATAAATAAAATTTTATTGGAATAAAGCCATGTTTGCTTTTTATGTATTGTCTATGGCTGCTTTTGTGGTACAATGACAGAGGTTAAGTATTTGTTATTTGGCCCTCTACAGAAAAAGTCTGATGATCCCTGGTCTATAAGTATAGGCTCATTTCTCCAATACTAACACAACACCACAGATTCATTCTCATCTCTCCTCTTGCCATAGTTGTAACTCTTTTTGATGGTGAGGTACATGGCTCCCATTAACCTCAATAAATGTACTTATTTTCTAAACTCTAGGACATACCAAAAGTAGTTTCAGAATTGCTAGGCAAACAAAACAAAACAAAACCCCAAACCTACTCTCTAGAGTTCTCTATTTAGGTTTCTTTTTATCCCTTAGTCAAAATACTATGTTCTAAATTTACTTGCATTAGTTCTTTTCCCCCTCCTTTTCAGCGTGGTTGTATTATTTGTTTTAAATATAGCTAGACTCATCCACTTGTGTTTGTACTACATTTTAGGCATTTTTTTTCTCTATTAACTGATTTTTATTATTTTTGTCGTCGAGTATGTAAAATGTTAACAGTTCAGAGTCAAAATATGCAGAAAGTCATATTCAGGTAAGAGTTACATTTCCCCCATGCCTCCTAGACTGTTTCCACCCCCTCATCACTTCTATGCCATCCTCACTCACCCCTGTATAAGAAATCCATTTCATTAGTTCTGGTATCTGCTTTCTATGCATCTTTTTGCAAAACATAAGCAGCTACACGTCTAATGCAGAAGGTAGCATATTATAATGACTCTTGAACTTTGATTTTTTCAACTTAAAATATAACCTGGAAATCACTGATCCCAGCTCACAGAAAGCACCTCATTCTTTTTCACAGCTGTGTAGTACTCCATGCATGACTATACCATCATGTATTTCATCACATTCTCCTATGTTTGGGCATGTTTTCAATATTTTGCAATTATTGCAATTAATGCTGCAGTGAATAACCCTGAGCTATCTATTTTTGTATACTTGGAGATAGATCTTCAAGGTAAATTCCTAGAAGTAGAATTCCTGGGACAAAAGGTAAATGCATACTTGGTTTTGTTAGATATTGGCAAAAGCCCTCCGCAAGAGCTGTACCACCTGTGTTCCCACCAGCAATGCAGGACAGTGCTGGTTTCTCTACAGCCATGTCACAACAGTATGTTGTCAAGTTTTTAATGCTTTCCAGTCTGAGAGATAAAAACTGATATATTAAAGTAGTTCTGATTTGTATTTGTTCTCAATATGAGCATTAGGAGTGGAGTTGACTGTCTTCATTTGCATAAGGCCATGTATGTAACATATAAATATATGCATGTATGCATTTTATATCAATATTTTAGGTCTGTTCATTTCTTTGCCCCTTTTTCTATCAAGTAAGCCCTCACTTTGTCATGTGTCTTTGGGTAGCCTGGTTTTTTATTTTTTTTTTTGCCATGCAAAAATTAAAAAAAATCTTTCTGGAATCAAATATATTAATCTTTTCTTTTATTGCCTCTGTATTTTGAGTTATAGTATATGGTGTGAGTTTATTCTGGCATAAAGTGTATCTAGTTTTATCTTTTTTTTAAAAATTTTTTTTTAACGTTTATTTATTTTTGAGACAGAGACAGAGCATGAACAGGGGAGGGTCAGAGAGAGAGGGAGACACAGAATCTGAAAGAGGCTCCAGGCTCTGAGTGGTCAGCACAGAGCCCGACGCGGGGCTCAAACTCATGGACCGCGAGATCATGATCTGAGCCAAAGTCGGACGCTTAACCGACTGAGCCACCCAGGCACCCCTAGTTTTATCTTTTAAAAAGGACTGCAGAATTTTCTTGACAAGTGATGTTATTTTAACTTAAGATTTAGAAGATTTTATACAATTAAGAAATTTGGATCAGAGCAATACACTTGTTTGGCTTTTTACTAAGTATGCATTTACAAAGTATATTTTCAAAAAAAAGAAAGAGTTCTATGTTAACTATAAAATCAGGACTTTTCTTGCAGGACTTTTGAGAACTTTTAACACACTGAATCTCCCTAGAGGAGGACAGATATATAGCACTGCCTACGTGCGTGCACCTGGAACCATCACATCTCTTCAGATCATGAGTCCATAGACCACACCTTGAGAAACACCGCTTCAGGTTATACCATTTTCCCAATCCGGGTGCCATTGTTTTTGTTTGTTTTGTTTTATTTTCCTTTGTATATATTTAACAATTTCATTTTCTCAAGAGCATTTTTGGGTGGCTTGTTAATAAGCACAAGTACGTAGTCTAGCATCTGTATCTTATATGTTTATATTTTCATATGGAATATTTAATGCTAATCAACTTGACCCTTTATCAGCTTCTTTAAGCATGCCTTCCCCACAGGAAGCAGCAAACATCTGAGGAAGTGGGAGTTTGGCTGAGGCACACTCACAGAGTGCCTGCCCAGCTGGGGCAGGAGATCTGAAGGGGCTCCCTGGCCAGCTCTCACCCCAGCCCAGCTACTGCGCTGTGGAGTTGGCTCTTGCTCTTTGTTCCGCCACTTTCATACTTGCCTTGTCTTTGGCACTTGATACTCTTGTTGCTTTTCTGAGCTCTGATTATAACCCTTTTCTCCCAAGGACGGACTCTTGTTTTATGAAAGCCTCTAACTCCTTCGCTGGATGGATACCCTTTCCAGTCAG